TGAAAGCTTATGCCCAAATAAATCTGTTAGTCTTTAAGGTGCCACCAGACTCCTTGTTGTTTTTGCAGAGGAGGTCAGACATTGCTCACCCTGTAACCACAACAGGATGGTGGAAACAGGGGTGACCTAGTCTAAAGGGAGGTCACCCCAGGATTTCCATTCTGGCAGATTGCCTGTCATGTGCAAAGAGTGTCCTGGGAGAGATCACACATACCAATTATAACATTTCTTCTCATCAGTGAGAAATCCCATTTCCTCTTGCATATTATCCAGACTGCTAATACTGTATCGCAGTCCTAGGAATCAAAAACATCTTCTCTTCACATTCTTTACCACTGTTGGAAGCGGTGTCCCCAGCCAGACACTGCACTGTGGTCAGTATCTGCCCTGTAATGCTTCCTCTTTGTGGGGGGAGGGAGCATGTTGCAGAGATGACCCCACCCCAGAACTACACACCCCAGTGACACTGCAATTCCACAACAGCAGTGTGCCACCCCCACACAGCATCAGTACAGAGCACCCCACCAACACTGCCCACCCTGGGCCAGTAGAGTCCACCCCAATGACACTGCTCCTCCCCACACCACTACAGTGCCCCCCATGACACTGCCCCTCCCTCACCCAGGGCTAGCTCAGTGCTCCAACACTGCACCTTTGCCTCCCCACCATGCACCCAACCGACACGGCCACCCCACACCAGTACAGTGCACCCCAACACCGGGCACCCACCCTAGGGCAGCACACCTCAAAACTGCCCCATTCCCACCCTATGACGCAGCATCCCCCATCCCAAGGCCAGCTCACTGCATATCTTATGCCAAGATGCTGCAGCCCAAGGGCCCCCCCTTCAGCCCAGGCCCCTCTCACTGGGGTGAGCTTGAGGTCCTGCAGCACGTCGTCCATGTAGTGATACTCGGAGAGCTCAGTCTCCACCATCTCATTCTTGAGCTCCAGCACCCGGCCCATCACCCCATCAAGCATGTGCTGTAGCACCCGGCGTTTCTGTGGATGCACCATCTGGTCGTAGCAGGTCTCCAGGCAGCGCAGGATCTGTGTGTAGCGCAGGAACAAGGTGGCCAGCATATGGAAGAACAGCCTCTGGTCCGTCTCAGGCCGTGGGGGCTGAGACGGCAGCTCCTGGGCCAGCAGCTCCTTTAGGGCAGCCTGGGACTCGAGCCACATCCTTGTGTAGGTGCTAGAGAGAGCAGGACACCTCCTCAGGGCCAGGGAGCTGGAGATGTGGCCACAGCCCAAACTGCCGGGGCCTAACTGCCCCCTTGTCCTCCCGCCAGAGGGCTGCCAGAGCTGTTCAAGCCCCAATCCCAGGGCCCATGGGCTGTTTGCACAGGGACTGCACAGAACTGCAGCAGGTGTAATTCACAGCTTCAGTGATTTGGGGTCATGTCAGTGTATGGATCCTCTCCCCCCGCAACAACAACCCAGTTTAGAGCACTCGCCTCCCCTCCTGCAGCCCCAAGTCAAAGTCAGACTGCCTCTTTCTGTCCTTCACCAAACCTCCACCCCATCAGCCCAGTGCCCACTCCCCTCATGCTGTACTGATCCCCCCCCCAACCTGATACCTGCCCCACAATACCCCAGTGCCCCTCAGACCTCCCATTGCCCCAGTGCCCATGCCCCACACGCTGCACCGACTCTCCTCCCCCCCCCCCCCAGGGCCTCTCCCGCCAAGGGGCAGCCCAGGCTTTTCCCCAGCCCCGTACACCAGGCCTCACCAGCTGGACATGGTGTCCACACCCACTCTGCCCCCAGGCTGCCCTGCGTGGGGGAATTGTCCCATCACCCTGGAGACCAAACCCCACCCCCCATTGACCAGGGGCTGTTCCCATGGAGACGGTGGAACGCTCACTAGCTGCCCTGCCACATGGGAGCAGAGATTCCCCCACCCCTGGGAGGCCCAGGCCTGGCCTGGGCAGGGAGGGCGAGCTGGCAGTGAGCCCCTGGAGGCAGCACCCTGGCCCTGCACAGCCTGGCCCTGGGAGATGCTCCCGGCGGGGCTGCTGCTGCTCTAGCCCCCTGCAGCCCAGGCCTGGGCAGAGTGCACCCACGCGGCCAGGACCGCCCCCTCACAGAGTCAGAGGGGACCTTGTCCTGCTTAGCACAGGCCCATGGACCTGCAGCCCCCACCCACCTGCGCCGCCCCCGCCAGCCAGGGCAGGGAGGGCACACCCTGCTTGGTTCAGGGACAGCACCAGTCAGTGGCTGAGTCACCCTTAACATCCCCCCCCCCCACACACACACAGTGTCACTGCTCCCCCTTAGAGGTTGTAGATTTTATTCCTGTGGGTAGGAACAGAGTCATCGGCTCCTCAGCTCCCCACCCCATGCTGCCTTCGCAGTCACTTGCTGCTGGTGTACTTGGTGACAGCTTTGGTGCCCTCAGACACGGCGTGCTTGGCCAGCTCCCCCGGCAGCAGCAGGCGGACGGCGGTCTGCACCTCGCGGCTGGTGATGGTGGAGCGCTTGTTGTATTGTGCTAGGCGCGAGGCCTCTGTGGCAATGCGCTCAAAGACATCATTCACAAAGGAGTTCATGATGCTCATGGCCTTAGAGGAGATGCCAGTGTCAGGGTGAACCTGGCAGGAAAGGGAAGAGTGTGAGTAGAGGTGGTAGCTAGTTCTGCCCCCATCCCATCCCACCCCTCAGGCCTGCCTCTGTCCCTTCCCCTGCACCAGGGGAGCTGCAGGAAAGGGATGGACAGCATGGGAGCATGGCACACAGCAGGCAGAAGGGGCATTTCTGGACCAGTGAAGGCAGCTGTTCGGAGACAAAATAAGGGCCTGTGAACCTAAGGAGAGCACCACTCCTGCCTCCAGCCAGATTCGTCATAAGCCAAGACAACTCCAGTCTGGTCTCGGGGGTGGCAGTAGGCCAGTCCCAGCCTGTTGTCTTTGATCAGCATTACAGGAATATCAAGAGGCTCCAGTCAAGGATGAGGCCCTGTTGTGCTGGGTCTCTGCCTCAGAGCTCACCCTTCTTGGGAATGGAGACAGCAGGTGGTGATGGTGGGGGACACTCGTGTTTTCCTATAGACCGCACACAATGCAGCCCCCTACTCAGGGAGTGAGCAATAGAGCACTCATCACACAGGTATCAGCACAACCCCACTAGATATTGAGGAAGGGAGCACTCAGCGATCACCTAATTCCCCCAGTCCACTCTGCACCAGGCTGCAGAGCTAGGGAACAGAGCCATCAAGCAGGAATTTCCATGGGAGCCCAGAAGGGCCATAGCAGCTGCCAACTCCCTCCCCCAACTTTATATAAAGGCTTTTTCTAGGTTGCTGAAGAGCCCCAGCACTGGTGCATCCCACCCTGGCTGTACGTGCATCTCACATCCCAGAGTGTCGCTAGGGCTCTGGAAGACAACACAGGAACCCTGCATTTGTCTGTGACCCATTGATTTCAGAGCTACTGACAGGAGGAGCAAATAGACTGCCCTAGGAACAGGTGTAATTGACAAAAGAGGACGAAGCCCAGAAGGTAGTGGAGTGTGTGCGAAGACACCAGAGAGAGGTCAGAGTGCTAGATCCAGACCAAGAATCTTTGCATACAGAAGGGGTGGTAGCACCAGTGCTACAGATAAAATCCTGGGGAAGGGGCTGCTAGCAACAATCCTGTCCTAGGTCCCAGGTGCAGGCTAGGATAGGCTACCCCATAGGATCTTGCAGACCCTATGCCCCTCTCCAGTGCCTCCCGTTATCTCATAACACCCAGAGACCTAAGGAGGCTGGAGTCACACACACATCATGTGTGTGTGTGTGCTTCTGAGCACACACACCTAGTCTCCTTGTGGGAATCCCACCCCACCTGCAGGGGTAACAACATAGCAGCTAGAATTGATAGAGTAGCCAGGTGGGATAAGCCCTTCACTCACCTGTTTCAGCACTTTATAGATATAGACTGAGTAGGTCTCCCGTCTCTTCACCTTCCGCTTAGATTTCTTGTCCCCAGAGACAGGGGCTCGGCCTCGCTTCTTCCCAGCTTCTGCACTCATTCTTGATACCTCTCCAGACACCACAAGCCAGGCTGCAAATCACTAGGGATGGCTATATAATGAGGGTATCACCTGCCACAGGTGAGACCACTAAGGAGGGGAGGAGCTTCCCGGAGTGGATCCAGCCAGCAATTCTTCCTTGGTTGAGAGCCCCACCAGCCCAGAAAGGAACTCAGAGGAAACTAATTTGGTTCAATGAAATTTTATTGGCCTGGCAAACTGCCAAAGTCTAACAAAGGCAGAGCCCTGAGCCCCTCACAGAGAGCCAGGTTCCACCAGCCCAGGATGGATCTTCACTGGGTTTTGGAGAGTTGTTCCCTAGATTTACCCCTGCTCAGTGGGAAGATTGCAAATCATAAAAGAGGGACTGACCAACCTTCCGCCAAGAGCTGCTGGAATCAGCTGGTGCCAAAGTATGTGTGCAGCAAGAAGGAAACATTGATTCTGTAGCTGAACAATTGCAGTGAGGTGACCCCTGCAAGCCAGCGTGACCCTATCCCCAGTCCAAACTAGCCCAGGCACCTCTCTGCAGTCATGTCCCACTCGCAAAAAGAGGGGACATTGCAAAGACTGGGGTGAACTCTATGGCAGCAGTGCCTCCATGGACACCCCTGGTCTTTGGTACCAGCGTGAATCTCTTCACCCTCAGGGGGATATGCAGGGCTGCGGAGGTATCTCTGAAGCTCTCCTAGGGATAAATCAGTGACCACAAACTAGTGGTAGAAATCGGGTACAAAGCAGTCTTAACCCAGAGAGAATCATAGAATCTCAGGGTTGGAAGAGACCTCAGGAGGTATCTAGTCCAACCCCCTGCTCAAAGCAGGAATAATCCCCAACTAAATCAAGGAGAGAGGAGTGACTGTGCAGCCAACGTGATGGAGGAGAGACTGAGGTACTTTCTATCCAATGTCCCACAGATGAGAGCGAGATTACTTCAGAGGATTAAGAACCATAAAAGACATCTTATAAAAGGGTGATACATGAAATCTGTGCCTGCCCCTGGGTGCTGGAGATAAGCAGAGAGCCTCATGCCATGGAGCCCATGCCACCATGTCAGGAACAGAAGGCAATGACTAGACATGGGATTACACCCCACACCCAGTATCTGACATCCTCCTGGGAGAGTCACACACACATCGACCAAGAGCAGGCAAAGCGGGTGTCTGGCTCTTTCTTACACTTTGGCAGCACTTGTACAGCTTGTCTTTCCAATAACATCTCACTGAACTGAATTTTATTCCTGGCCCATCCCCCAGGAGATGGATCAGAGTGCATGTCCCCAGGGAAATACAAGCATCTGTCACCATGGGGAGCGGGGGGGAAGCCAGGAAAATCCAAACAAACACTAATGAATGTGCTACTTCTGCCAGCCCCCTGTCTGGCTTCCCATCTGCACCTGGCTGGAGGAATCAATGTCAATCAATGCACAGTGCTGGGAAAGGGGTTGGAAGCGCATGAGAGTCTGGCTCTAGTATCAGAGGGGAGCCGTGTTA